CCCCAAAACCCCAAAACCCCAAAACCCCAGTCTTCAGTTATATATGAGCTTTTGAAATAAAATAAATTCTGATAAACTTAAATTGTGAGAAGATGATGAATTAAGTATAAGTTACACCAGCAGATCAAAAATTGTCAATGAGTCAAAATCAAGCGAGGCTTTAGGTAAAATAATGATCATTGACGCTTGAATCAAGTTAGAGAAAAGAAAATCTGAGAGCTTTATTATCAAGAGAGCCTCAAGCCAGGAAGCTCAACTTTAAAACTAGACCGCTAGTTGATAACTCTTCAAATGCAAATTAATCTCCGACTGATAAGAGTAAAAGATCTCCGTACAATAATTCTAAAAACATGAATTTCAACAACATGCTAAACTTAGTGGATCTTTAAACATAATTTTTGAAAGGAGATGATGATAATAATAATAATAAGATCAGAGGCAATACAAGGTAAAGTGATATTTTGGCAGAATCTGTAGATCCCATTCATAACAACCTAGAAATATAAAAAAAAAGCAGTTAATAAAGACTTTTGGAGACAAATAGGAAACATGGAGTCATTTAAGAGATTATTAAGTAATTAAATGGTGACCTTAACTCAGGATGAATTCGGAAGAATGTCACAATTAACATTAAAGATTAATAAGAAGAGACTCCTAATGAATCAATAGCAGAAAATGATGGATCTACAAGTCCTATTTTTAAGATTGATGAAAATATTTTTGAGACTTTTTTTGGAAATGATAATTCAGTACAAAATAATGGTGAAGAACCTAAGTTAGATAAGCTCTAGGTTAGTTACGATGACTCTGTAGGAAATATAATCAAATAAAAGTTGTTTGACTCTAAGAGAGAGGAGTCAAGAGTTCCAAACACTACTCCTAGTACACCAGTAAAATAACTAAATAGCATCTCTTTCAATATGTTCCAGAATGCTCTTCTCACAGAATAAAAATCAACATCAAACAGATCATCCAAAAATAATCTTCCATTATATCTAAGGCCTTAGGCGATATAGCAAGTAGCGAATAAGATTACTTTTAAAGAAGCGATGAACATTCTAAAGATAGCAAGAGTCGATAGATAAAAAGGAGAAAAAGAACTGATGAAAGTTATACAATCTAAATCACCTGTAGTAGAAGAAAAACCAAAACCAACACCTCATGAATAAATGGATGAGATTATCAAAGGAATGTAAAGACGAGATTGTTTCGGAAATATATTACGATATCATGAAGAAATGAACTAGCTTTAAAAATAAAAGAATATTACAACTAATGCTAGACTATCTCATTGCTAGCTAACAAATATAAGAAAACTTATTCCAAAAGAATATATAAGAAGCTCCTAAGATTTTGATAGGATTAATGTCACAATGCTAAATGAGTATCTAAATAAATACTCAGAAAAACTAAGCAGAGGCAATGCTTAAGATCCTTACGAGATCAAGGTTGATTTCGATAAATATGATGAAATATTAAGTGGAATAGAGAGTTAAACTTATAATCCCTTCTTCATGCACATTGAAGTTGAGGCTGAAAAGAAGAATCTTGATTCAGCAGGAAATATATTGAGCAATAAAAAAATTGTTCCAAGTAGATATCTTGACTAGGCCAATCAATCACAAGCCAATTTCAAATTAAAAAATCCAATTGCTGCTAAGTAGTAGGAAGTAAGAGAAAAACTGGAGATTTTTACCGAAATTCAGGAGATCAAGACTAGATTCTAACCTTAAACAACAAAATTCAAGAGGCTTTATATGAAAAGTATCGATATAAATTAATTTGAGAACTACTAAGGTATGTTAAAATCTCTAAGGAAAAGATAAATTGGCTAGTCGGAAACTCTGAATAAAACAATGAATTATGATAATACTTCATTTTTCCCTAGATTTGGTTCTAATATTGGTGGAAAGGGTGAAAGAACTGCTCAAACAGCAGGCTTAATTTAAGGCAATGAAAGCTACGGATTAGATAGAGCAGTTATTTCAACAGGCACTCATACAAGAATTATGTCACCTTTATAATCAAATGTGGATACAAAGAAATTTTTCAGCAGTATAAAAAAACATGAGCTAAGTAAGGATGATACTATTAGTGAAAATTTTTAAAGGTCCTAATAATTTTAGAATGATAAATGTAAGTTCTATATATTTTTATTTTTAATAGTAAAAAAAATTGGAGAAATCTGGAAGTCAAGCTAGAGAATGAGAAAAGAAAATTTTAGATTTTAAAAACGATAAGAAAAACGCTTGAATGTGTTATCTCAGGAAATTTCTCATCTCAACACATTTGCAAATTAATCTTTGAATCAGGCTAAGAAAGAATTTGAGAAGATCAAATTTGAAAAAGAAAAAATAAGACTTAAAGTTTGATGAAACTATTAATACTTAGTTATCGTTTAATTTCATAATTTGTTAATATCACTATTATTTATGTTAAGAAAATAATGATAGATAAACAATCAGTTCATTTATTATTGTATAATCTTCCTTATATTCATTGACTTTTAATCAATTTTTAAGAAGTCTATGTCAGACTTTAAATAATGTTACAGAGGCTATATAATCTCCCTAATCAGGCATGACTTCGAATATGATCGATCTGTATGCATGATACTAGGTGCTAAACTAATTAGTCACATTCCTCACATAGAATTGATCTTTCTTTTATCCATCTGGATTATCATTCAAGCTGTTTAGTATATCTTTGACAGCATTAAACTTGGTTAGAGGATTAATCACAATTTTTTCTTTATTCTACATATTTTGTAAAAACTGAGAGTCCTTTGTTGAAATCATTGACATATTGCAATGCTTCTCCTATCTGCTTTAGTTCTTCTATTTTTTCTTCTTCCCACCACCATGCTTGATATTGTGATTACTTTAATAGATTAAAGTATCATCATTTAAAAACATCATTTGCTCTTGTAATTCCTCCTTAGCTGGAGAACTTGATTTCTTTTCTATATAGTTATCAATTATTAACTCGAAAAAGCATCGATGATAGAACCCAAAGTAAGGATGCTTTATAAAGTTGGTATGAATGATAATTTTTTAAAGTTTGTAATTAGCATCAATTTTCAAATCAAATCCCAACTCTAAGTAATTTAAAAATAGCGAACCTTCACTATAATACTCTTTATTCGGATTACCAAGTATTCTTAAGACATCCATTAAATGATCATTAAACAAGATCTTAACAGAATCTTTTGAAGGATCATTAGGATATATTATCTCAATTCCTTCATTTAACAATATCCTAACTATTTAAGTTAATTGAACAAAAATTATACCTTTTCGATCTTTATCAGATCCATATTCATGATTGTCTACCAAATTTAGTTTCACTAATCTATTTTCTTAAACTTAAAGCTAATCAATTGTCAGCTCTCTTGATCCCTCTTTGAACATTTTCTCAGAATATTCAAACACAAAGCTTATTGGATAGTTCTCATAACTCAACAAGACTGAGTTACCAATTATTCTCGGCGGGTAAGTTGGTCCCATAATCTAGCTCATTAGGGAATAATTCATCAATCCTTAGGATAAAATCTACTCTCTCATTGTGTAGACTAATCTTTATTTGATTTCACTGGATGCAATGAAAATCTCGACTTGCTATAGAGTTTAAAACTTATGGTCAAATTTCAGTTTAAAGCCTACAATATTTATCAGAATACACTCGGAAGATTGATCTTACCTGAATCTGGTAGAATTATATAAGCTGGGTAGTTTGCATCATCCTTTTAAAAGATCATATCTATTCTACCAAAGATTTGAACATTCATTTGGATATAAGATAAGACCTTATTAATTGAATCGCCAAGTGAAAGTCCTCCAAATGATCCTTTTAATGGATCAATTTTTATGTTTGTTTTGCCAGACATAAATTTGAAATAATTATTTAATCCCACTCAAATAAAATTTTTGAACTAAGGGGTTTTGGGGTTTTGGGG